TACTCTATTGAGTTCTGGTTTCTCTTATTTCTTTTATTGTTGGTTTTTGGGCCAACTTCAGCGGTGCTCAGGGTGACTCCTGGCTCTGTTTTCAGGGCTGACTCCTGGCTATGTGCTCAGGGCTGACTCTTGGCTCTGTTTTCAGGGCTGACTCCTGGCTATGTGCTTAGGACTGACTCCTGGCTCTGTGCTTAGGGCTGACTCCTGGCTCTGTGCTCAGGGCTGACTCCTGACTCTGTGCTCAGGGCTGACTCCTGACATTACTAAGGGCACCATATGTGGTGCCAGGGATCAAAGCTGGGTTGGTCACATGCAAGGTAAGTGCCTTTCTTGCTGTACTCTCACTTCAGACCTAATTTCTCTTATTTCTAACAACTTTTGTCAACAACCTTTGTTAGGTTAAGTCACCTTGTTACTTAATCCACAAAGGTTATATCTTTGTTGTAAATTGACTATTTTTATTAAAAGAATTCTTCTCTGTTTAATGCTCTCCTTTTTGCCTTTTGTACTTTGACATGGTCGACTTGAAAATCTAACAGAGGGCTTTTTTTACTGGTGGCGAGGTGGAGACACACTTGGTGATGCTCAGGGCTTACTCCTGGCTCAGAATCAGGGACCGCTCCTGAGTGTAGTCACAAGTGTTGGCTAGTCTGTGCTTTGGTGGCGATCAGGATCACGTAGGGTGCTTGGGATCGAACCTGGGTTTGCCATATGCAAGGCGAAAGCCTTATCCACTGTACTGTCTCTCTAGCCCCTAAAATTGGCTTTTCTTAACCCAAACTGTGATCCTTGAATTTGGATGAAAAAATAAATCAAAAAGTAACAGTATAAACGGCCATACACCCACTCCATCCAGATTTCCCCAGGTTTTCTTTCTTTCTTTCTTTCTTTCTTTCTTTCTTTCTTTCTTTCTTTCTCTCTCTCTTCCTTCCTTTCTTCCTTCCTTCCTTCCTTCTTCCTTCCTTCTTCCTTCCTCCCTCCCTCCCTCCCGTCCGTCCTTCCTTCCTTCCTTCCTTCCTTCCTTCTTCCTTCCTTCTTCCTCCCTCCCTCTCTCCCTCCCTCGCTTCTTCCTTCCTTTCTTTCTTTCTTTCTTTCTTTCTTTCTTTCTTTCTTTCTTTCTTTCTTTCCTTCCGTCTTTCTTTCTTTCTTTCTTTCTCTCTCTCTCCCTCCCTCCCTCCCTCCCTTCCGTCCTTCCTTCCTTCCTTCTTCCTTCCTTCTTCCTCCTTCCCTCCCTCTCTCCTTCCCTCCTTCCTTCCTTCCTTCCTTCCCTCTTTTCTTTCTTTCTTTCTTTCTTTCTTTCTTTCTTTCTTTCTTTCTTTCTCTCTCTCTCCCTCCCTCCCTCCCTCCCTCCCTCCCTCCCTCCTTCCCTTCCGTCCTTCCTTCCTTCCTTCCTTCCTTCCTTCCTTCCTTCCTTCTTCCTCCCTCCCTCCCTCTCTCCTTCCCTCTCTCCTTCCCTCCTTCCTTCCTTCCTTCCCTCTCTTCTTTCTTTCTTTCTTTCTTTCTTTCTTTCTCCCTCCCTCCCTCCCTCCCTCCCTCCCTCCCTCCCTCTCTCCCTCTTTCCCTCTCCCTCACTCTTTCTCCCCCATTTGTTTTTGGGCCACACCTAGTGGTGTTCAGGGCTTACCCCTGGCTCTGTACTCAGGGATCACTCCTGGCAAGTTCAGAAGACCATATGGGGTGCCAGGGATTGACCCTGAGTCAGCCGCATGCAAGGCAAGCACCTTACCCACTGTCCAATCTCTCAGGCCCCTTTCCCATATTTCTTATATCTGTACTTGGGAAACGTTTGTGAATGGACAGGCATCTGCACCCACTGTGGAAGAGTCACACTTCCTTTTCATGAATCATAACAATGACCCCTCTCTTTCTGCCTTGCACGCAGCAGACCCGAGTTTGCTCCTTGGTATCCCCTGGGGTCCCCTGAGTACCACTAGGAGTAATTCCTGAGTGCAGGGCCAGGACTAGCCCCTGAGCATCAGCAGATTCGACCCAAAAAGAAAAATAGAAAAAGAATAGGGAAGCAGAAAACAATCCAGGGTGCATGGAAATAAGGCAAGGTCGAAAGGAGCCAGAGCCCCTGGGAAACCACCTTTGTCCCTTCAGCCCCAAAGGAAGGACGGGTGCAACGTACAAGGGAGAGAACCGTTGCAGCAGTGCTGGCTGAGGACAAACCTGGAGACAGGGACTGCAGACTTATCTTTCTCGTGAATAATCCCACTTGAGCACTGCCAGAAGCAACCCCCAAACACAGAGTGGGGAATACCCAAGCACTGCCTGGTGCAGCCCCCAAGAAGAGCAGATAGAGCAAATGGATGAGGCTCATTTCTCTTTGCACTGGTTCATTAGAATGATTAAATAACGGATCTCCCCCCCCATGAACCCCACACTTCAATGGAGAAAGATTTGGCTACAAGTAACAAACACTGTGAAACGGGTCAAAGGTTGGCTTTTTATGACCGCCACCAGGCATTTTTCAAGTAAGAATGGACGTTTGCTCTTTATGTATTTATTACTCATTTATATTTCCTCCCTTTAAACACCAGCAAAGTTTTCTTCTTTGGGAAGATCTGAAGCATTTCTCTTTAAAGGTAATAACAATAATTTTACAAATTGTTTTTGCTAGGAAACGTATTTATTAGTCCACAACTACTTTTTGACTTTGGGTTTGGAAGATAAAAGTAACAGAAACAGAATTTTAAAGGTGCAGAAAGGCACGCTATGGAAGCATGTTCCAAGCAAAATCCTTGTTGATAGCTTTTGGGTTCTGATCTGAGTCATCCACAAAAGTTAATCCCAGATCATCTGCCGTTATGATGACCCAGAAATACGACAGTCACAGGGCATCAGGTCTAAAGTGACTCTCCCGGGGTTTAAATCCTGACTTTCATTCCTATTTCTGTGACTTCGTTGTTGACTAGTTCAAACTTTGACTTTCAAATCCAGAAAGAGAGCGATAATCAACATCCTATCATATCAGCGGGTTGTTACGGACATTACAGTCTGGATCACGTGTGTTTCGATAGCAATTAATTTTTAACATTGACTTTTGAGATAAGTTTCGGCACACAGGAGAGTGAATATACAGTTGTAAAGTGGCACAGAAGGGCCTATACACCCTCTGCCCGATTTTATTAGCTATTCACCCACAGGACTGTGATCAAAACGAACACGCTGATACTGGAATCTCGCTGCGGACCACACTTTGGACTGTGGGGATTTCATGACTAAGGTTCTTACTCTTTCTTGGCATTCAACCAGCATCTGAACTCCATGGGCCATATCCTCCGTCCTACCATCTTAATTTCCCCCACTTGTGTCTGCTCTTGTTTTTTCCATATCCTCCACACTTCGGAAGAGTCCCAGTTGGGTTCTGTAGCCCTGTAGCACTGTCCTCCCATTGTAGCATTGTTCATCAATTTGCTATAGCGGGTACCAGTAACATCTCCATCGTGAGACTTGTTGTTACTGTGTTTGGCATATCCAATACGCCACGGGGAGCCTGCCAGGCTCTGCCATGAGGGCAGGATACTCCCTGTTGCTTGCCGGGCTCTCCAAGAGGGACGGAGGAACCAAACCCGGCTCAGCCGCATGCAAGGCAAACGCCCTACCTTCTGTGCTATCGCTCCAGCCCATTATATATATTTGGGTATATTGTAAAATGCTTCCCCATTTGAATGTATCTCTCCTGACCTAAGGGAAAGTGATGTATTTCTAGCCAAGCTGGTGTGTGTGTGTGTGTGTGTGTGTGTGTGTGTGTGTGTGTGGTGGGGGGGGGGGCTTGGATTAGAAAAGGAATGCGAGAACCACATCTCCAGGGCCTGAAGGTGCTTCCCCAGCAGGAACACAGACTGGGGAGCTAGTGTTGGCTAGTGTTGGTTTTGCGTCCTAAAAATCTCTGAAATGACAATAATGGTAGCCAGAGCATCCGTGATTGGAGAGAGTAATACTTCTAGTCTCTTCCCCTCCCTCCACCTTTCTCCCTCCTCCTTCCCCAAGCTGAAAGGACACATTTGCTATCAACATGCTTGCCTGTGGACAAAGTCCCCATGGTGTGCTCCCTCTCTGGGGCCCATGTATTGATCAATATGTCTGATTACCAATGAAACTGTCCTTGGTCACTCAGTTCACAGTAAATGATGTCAGGTTTCTCCACTATAAAGTACAATTTCCCCTTTGTAATAAATAAATCTTTTATTTATTTATTTATTTGGCTTTTGGGGTCACACCCACTGATACCCAGGACTTACTCCTGCCTTGCACTCAGAATTTACTCCTGTCAGTGCCTGGGAGACAGTATGGGATGCTGGGGATCAAACCTGGGTCAGCCGCATGCAAGGCAAGATCCCTACCCACTGAACTATCACTCTGGTCCCGGATTTTTTTTTTTTTTTTGCTTTTTGGGTCACACCCAGCGATGCTCAAGGGTTACTCCTGGCTCTGCACTCAGGAATTACCCCTGGAGGTGCTCAGGAGACCATATGGAATGCTGGGAATTGAACCCGGGTCAGCTGCATGCAAGGCACTGACCACGGTGCTATCACTCCAGCCCCTGAATCAGTATTTTAGACACTGTACTTTAAGACCCTGCCAATATCCCATTTCTTTGAAAATTTTCACCCACCTATTTTAGCCTTTCTCACTGGATCTTGTCTGCAGCCATCCTGGCAGCGGTGTTTGGTGACACTGTACCCTCCCTCGCCCCTTCTGCATTGATTCTTGGCAGATTCTTGGCAATTTATCTACAGGGGTAAGCCATCCTAATGCCCTCTTTCATTGGTTCATTCAATCACGTCTCCATGTCCAGAGAGGAAGAACTATTAAGTTTGACTCAAAAATCAGTAGTTTTCCACAAGAAACCCAGTTCCCATCCAGCTGAATAACCATGCATCCAGCACATGGGACAGGAAACCCCAAGAGGAAATCTTTTGGGCACGGGGTGGGGGGTGGGGTGGGGATTGCTGCTTACAGTGATTGGTCATTGTCCACAGAGGCCCACTTACTGTAGCCCATCAGCGAGAGTGCTCCTATAAGCATGATGAAGGTCTGCAGGGCGTCTGTGTAGATCACAGCGGCCAGGCCACCTGGAGGGGGGAAGATGAGCAATGACGTGAGGGTCTGACTCGGGAGAGGAATTGCTCTGGGGACATTATTGGGCATCTCCTTCCTGCCCGCATGCCTGTTTGGCAGCATGGCTCTGCTGTGCCTGTCCAACTCTCAGACACAGACCTGGCCAAAAGACTTGCTGAGACCAAGAGGAAGTGATAGACGTGAAGTGGGGCAGCTTTGTGCTTGACCTCAAGGCCGACCTGCAGTTCCTGCTTTTGCTCCTGTGTTGCTCTGAGTCCGCTATGCTTTCTCAGATGCTGCAATAGAGCCTGAAGTGGGGGATGATGACCCAGAGAGAGAGGGTCTCAGCTGACAGCCCGAGGCAAGCACCAGCCTCAAGGGGAAGCCATCTCCTTCTGGCTACCATCTGTCCCAGACCCCAACTAACTGCACTGCAACTGAGCAGGTGCGACCAGGAGAACCACAACTTACCTGGGGAACTAACTGTGGGAACTAATAAGCCATGAAGACCTTACATGTGTAAGTGGCTGGTTGCACAGTAATTTCTAACTCACAGCCAGCCCTGCTGGGTCTACTGGCCTGAGGCACCAAGCACCTTTATTGTTAAGAATGGGCAAAGGAGGGACTGGAGTGATAGTACAGCTGGTAGGGCATTTGCTGACCCATGTTCGAACCCTGGCATCCCATATGGTCCCACAAGCACCCGCAGGAATAATTCCTGAGTGCAGAGCCAGGAGTAGCCCCTGAGCATCGCTGGGTGTGACCCAAAAAGAAAAAAAAAGAATGGGTAAAGGATGTCAAGCCACAGGCATTGAGAACCTTAATAATATTCCCCTGACATATTATAATATTAATATAATAATAATATTCCTCCTGTCTGGCCTCGGTGAACTCTTAGTGCTTTTTTCTACCTAGAAAGGTAGTTGACCTGACAATGGGGGTAGCAAATTTAGAAGTAACCGGACAATGGTGGTAGCAAATTCACCAACACTCTTTCCAGCCTCTCCTCTCTGCCTCCTTGCACCCCTTTTCCCCACAGGGAAGGGACACGCGTCTGGTAAGGAAGTGTGGTCTAGTGGGTAAAGGCATTGTGCCATGTCGAGTCAAGAAAGCACAAGCTTCCTACGGAGAGTAGAGACAAGGGCCAGGAGGATCGCTCCATAAGCTTGGAAGCTGATCTCAGGTGCTGGGGGGAAAGGCAGCTGGGATGGAGAAGGGACCACTAAATAAATGATGGTTGGAGGGACCACTCGGGATGGAGAGGCATGCCGAAAGCAGATTATGAACCAAACATGATGGCCACTTAGCACCTATACTGCAAACCATAGAGAGAGTAAGAGGGGATTTACCTGCCACAGAATCAGGGGGTGGGAAGGGGTGGGGGTGGCGGGAGGGATACTGGGAACTTCGGTGGTGGAGAATGGGCACTGGTGAAGGAATGGGTACTCGAACATTGTTTGACTGAAACGTAATCATGAAACTTTGAAGTCTAAGTGTATCTCACAGTGATTCATTAAAATAAGAAAAATTAGTCAGAAAGAGAGGGACAGACATAGCAAGATTGCATTCATCTGGGAACGTAAAGTAACAAAATAGGAGACTAACACCCAAGAATAGCCAAGATGAGTACCAGGAGGTTAACTCTATGGCTTGGAGGCCAGCTGCACATGCTAAGGGAAAAGGTAGCTCAGATAGAGAAGGGAGCACCAAGTAAAGGGTGTTGGGAGAATCCTCCCAGGATGGGAGAAGCATGCAGAAAGTAGACTATAGACCGAACATGATTGCCACTCAGTGCCTCTTCTGCAAACCACAGCACCCAAAAGGAGAGAGAGAACAAAAGGGAATGCCCTGCCACAGAGACAAGGTGGGATGGGGGTGGGATGGGAGATGGGAGGAATACTGGGATCCATGGTGGTGGGAAATGGGCACTGGTGGAGGGATGGGTACTTGATCATTGTATCATTGAAACCCAAGCACAAAAATTTGTAAGTCTACAACTGTACCTCATGGTGTTTCACCAATAAAAATTTTTTAAAAAAGCAACAAAAATTATAGCATAAAAAATTAAAAAATCAAAGAAAGCACATGCTAAATGGATAGACTTAGTGAGAATCATGCTGAGTGAAATGAGTCAGGAGAAGGACATATATAGAATCACTGCATTTTTTGTGGGATACAAAAAAATCCCAACAGTATGACACTAATATCCAATGACAGAGAAAATGGGCCAATAGGACTGGTCAATGGTGGGCCAATGGTGTGGGAGATGGAGGGTAGTTAAGACAGAGGAGAATCAAGTATTACATTAGTTGGAAATGATCACTCTGGATAAGAACTGAGTGTAGGCAACACCCAAAAGGAGAGAACAAAAGGGAATGCCCTGACACAGAGGCAGGGTGGGATGGGGGGATGATGGGGGGTGGGAGGGATACTGGGACCCGTGGTGGTGGAAAATGGGCACTGGTGGAGGGATGGGTACTTGATCATTGTATAACTGAAACCCAAGCACAAAATTTTGTAAGTCTACAACTGTACTTCATAGTGTTTCACTAATAAAAATTAAAAAAGAAAAAAGAGAGAAAAAAAGAACTGAGTGTAGAAAGTAGGTAAAGGAATAGACATGATAACCTTTCAGTATCTGTATTGCAAACCATAATGCCTAAAATGAGAGAGAGAAAGAAAGAGAGAGGAGAGGTGCCTGCCATAGAGGCAAACTGGGGTGGGGGGTGGCTTGAAGACGTGGGAGGGACACTGGGGACATTGGTGCTGGGAAATGACACTGGAGGGGTGGAGTGTTGGAACACTGTATGACTGAGACACAATCATGAACATCATAATGTTCTATCTCACGGTGATTTAAAAATTTTTTAAAAACTAAAAAAAAAATTTTTTTAAAGTATGTGCTGGGATGTCATTCCCTGTCAGCAGGAATTGAGCCCTTGGCCGGATGCTGGCCCCATTTCTCTGCTGTCCTTCCGATGGCTGAACTCCAGAGCACTATGCACCCGCCAGCATTTATATTCCTGGTGATACTTATTGAGCATGGATCAAGGGCTGGGTACTGTGTTTGATGATTTTTGAGGGGAGGCCCACACCCGGCAGTGCTCAGGAGCTGTTCCTGGCTCTGTGCTCAGGAGTTACCCCTGATGGTGCTCAGGAAACTATCTGTGGTGCTGAGGAATGATCCCTGGAGCCAGGAGGAAACTGTGAGGACCACCAGGTATGGCCTCAAAATCAAAATAATAAAAAGAATCTTCCTGGGGCTGGAGCGATAGCACAGCAGATTGGGCGTTTGCCTTGCTGCGGCCGACCCGGGTTTGATTCCCAGTATCCCATATGGGCCCCCGAGCACCGCCAGGAGTAACTCCTGAGTGCAGAGCCAGGAGCAACCCCTGAGCATTACTGGGTGTAACCCAAAAAGAAAAATAAAGGAAAAATCTTCCTTCTTGAGGGGCTAGAGAGCTAGTACAGCGGATAGGGTGCTTGCCTTGCATAAGGTCAACCCAGGCTCAATCCCCAGCACTTCAAACGGCCCTCTGAGCCCCACCAGAAGTGATTCCTGAGCACGGACAGAATCAAGAGTCATCCCTGAGCACTACCAGGTATGGCTCAGAAACAAAATATTTATTAAATTAAAAAATAAAAATCTTCCCTCTTCATCCAAGGAGTACAGGAGCTAAATGCCTCGTTATGCAGCTGACGCCAGTTTGACCCCCAGAACACTGTTCCGTGGGGCCCCCAAGCACTGCTGTGTGGGGGCCCTTAGCAGCGCCACAGGCTCCCTCCAGAAACATGGCTTCAACCCCACTGGCTGAGAATTGGAGGACGGGGCCTCCAGACCCCCTCCCCACCAAGTACTGCTTAGGACCCAAAAAATAATAAGGAAAATAAAATCATCGCTTTTCTCAGGCAATCCACTTCCTTTGGATGATGACCAAGAGAAAATATCTTATTGGGGTCACTGGGGTTTAGGGATTGCGTAGTCTTCACACACAGGAAAAAAGAAGACAAGCCGCCAGGAAGAGCTGGGGGGGGGTGGCCTGGCACCCTCTCCCCCCATCTCTCTGGCACGCCCAGCTCAGTCTCACCTGCAATGGTGTAGACAGCAGTGATGGCCAACAGCCCGATGACGGCCAGGTAGAGATCCAGGTGCAAAGACTGCTGGATGAAGATGGCGCCTGCATACATGTCCACCTGAGACCAGCAATGAATGGGTGAGTCAACACACGCAGAGGCTCTCCTGGCCCAGAGCAGGCTCTGGCCTCGACCCTTACAAATACCACACAGTGCTCCGAGGGCCCTGGGCGAAGATCTCATGCCAGAACCACGCGAGCAGTGATGATCACGCCTCTCTCTTGGGCAGATGCAGTACCCCTCCACCGTCTTCTGACTTCTCTCTTGGCCTTGCCACACTCCATCCATCCTCTGCGCCCCTCACCCCTTCCGCTCTGCTCCATGCTCTAGAGTGATTCCATGGGCCCCAAGTTCCTGTCTCCATAAATGAATTGTGTGCCAGCCCCCTCCCCCATATGCCCACCCTTTGGCCCTTTCCTTTACTGACACCGGGTCCCTCAACTCCCCCCACGTCCTCCTGTCCTGGAAAACCACTTCAATGAGGTCCTTTTTAAAAAAAATTTTTTTTTAATTTTTTTATAAATCTTTATTTTTTTTTTGCTTTTTTTAAAAAATGGGTCACACCCAGCGATGCTCAGGGGTTACTCCTGGCTCTGCACTCAGGAATGACTCCTGGAAGGGCTTGGGGGACCATGTGGGATGCTGGGAATAGAACCCGGGGCAGCCTCATGCAAGGCAAACGCCCTACCCACTTTGTTTTCGCTCCAGCCCCTTCAATGAGGTCCTGACGTCGATGCGGGCTCCGAACTTCTGTGTGTTGTCGTGTGCCCAGTGGCAAAGCCTTTCTCCCTTTCCGCAGCTGCCAACGCCCCCAGTGCACCTTCCCCTGCGGGGGATCCCTCCCCTTCTACGCTGGGCCCTGGACACCTTATTCCTCTAGGCCCCCTCCAGCCTGCCCGAGGGCTTGTCCTCCCGCTGGAATCTGCGTGCACCATGCAATGCAGCTGCCGTGTCACTCTCAGGAAAGCTGCAGCACCCAAGGTCCAGGCGGGCCGGCCCAGGGACCACAGCCTGCATGGCGTGGGCAGGACTCCCGAGTGCCCCTCCCCCGGAGGTCACTGAAGCAGTGCAGGCACCGAGTCCTTCTGACTGGATGCTCCCGCCCCACCTCCCCAACCCTCAGCCACCCTCCTCCCCCTGCCTGCCCAGGAGGAGGAGAAAGGGGGAGAAGGGGGAGCACCCCCACCCAACGGAGGCCAGGCTGTGCCCCCACATCTCACGGAGATCTTGGTGAAGATGTAGATGAACAGGTAGAGCACGGCCAGTGTGAGGGGAATTCTGGTGCCACCGAAGCGTTTCCGGAGGTACTCGGGCATCGTGGTGACCTGGAGAGGGACACGCGTGACGCCTCCGACTCAGGGGGCCAAGGCTGCGACTGTGCCCACCTCCCCACCCTGCTCCGCCAGAGACACAGACGTGGTCTTCTCCATGGAAGACTGAAGCAGGGAGTGGGCCAAAGAGTTCGGCTTCTGTGCCCAAGACTCAGATTTCCTAAATGCAAAGCATCTGAAGAGTCCCCTCCCATTTTTTGAGGGGGTGGGGGGCTTCTCCCCAGCAGTGACTGGGGACCATGGACACCCTTGGCAATACTCACCCAGAAAGTGCAGGTTGACAGCTCAGTGTTCAAACCAGGCAGTGTGGGGGCAGTGTGTATGTGGGAAGGGGGGTGGGGTGGGGATACCAGTGCCCCAACCAGAAGCGCTGGGGGAGGGGCCAGAGCAATAGCACAGCAGGGAGGGCGTTTGCCTTGCACAGGGCAGATCCGGGTTCCATCCCCGACCTCCCATAAGGTCCCCCAAGCACCACCAGGAGTGACACCCGAGTGCAAAACACCAGAAATGCTGGGGGAGTGGACGGAGAGGAGGGATGTAGGATAGTGGATTGAACTGAGGACCTCAGCGAGGCTAGTTGTGAGTTCCAGACTTTGAGCTATTTTCCTGGCCCTCCCATCCCATCACCTGGATTCTTAATAAAGGTAAAGGTAAAGGCCCTCCCGTTGATCGTCGATTTGCTCGAGCGGGCCCAGTAACGTCTCCATTGGAGACTTTGTTGTTACTGTGTCTGGCATATCGAATACTCTCGGTAGCTTGCCGGGCTCTCCGAGAGGGGCGGAGGAATCGAACTCGGGTCGGCCATGTTGGCCGCTTGTAAGGCGAACGCCCTACCGCTGTGCTATCGTTCTTAATAACCTCATGTTTTTCTTCGAACCAGCTGTATTCTTTTATGGGGGACCACCCACAGTTGGTGCAGTGCTTGGGGAACCTTCCAAGTCCCTGTCCCCTCCCACCCAAACACTCACCTGACCAGCAATGTAGATAGGGAGGAAAACCCAGGCCAACATCAGCACAAAAAACAAGCCCTGCCGGGGAAAGAGAGTCATGAGGGAGGCGAAGATTCCAGTGGGAAGACCGGCCCTCAGGCAGGCTGGAGGAGACCTAGAGCAGTAAGGTGCCCAGGCCCCAGTGTAGAAGGGGAGGGGATCCCCGAATGGGGAAGGTGAAGAGGGGGGAGTCGGCAGTTAGGGAAAGGGAGAAAGCTTCGCCATCGTGTGCACAAGCACACGCCCAATTTTGGAGGCTGCATCAATTCAGGACAACGTTGAAGTGGTTTCCCAGGATGGGGTAGGGGTGGGGAACCAGATGCCCCATGAAGATGCTGGTTTAGATTTCCCTCTGCGTCCGGGCTGGCCCTGGCGCTCTCCAGCTCTCTGGCAGAAGCTTCCACGTTCCAACAGAAGAGGCTGGCCTAGAGGAGAGGGCACTGCCCGCTTGCTTTTGCTTTTTGCATTTCTGCAGTGGGCAGGTAGGTAGGAAGCTCCCAGCAACGGGCTCTTGACAAGCAACAAACCAAGACCCGCTCAGACACTGTCACTAGCCCTAGAGAAGCGAAAAGCATCATGGCCAGACCCACTGTGTGGACGCAGGAACTGAGGCCTGATAGGACTCTAACTGGCACCAGCAGAGGCCTAGAGAAGGCTGAACCCCTACTCCGGAGAGAAGCTCTAGCAGGAATAAAGGGCGGGGAAAGGACAGTGCAGGGGACAGCAGAAGAGTCAAGCTCTTCCCCTGGATAATGCCATAGTAACAGACGCTTCTCTAGGTGGGAAGCCCCACGCGGGGGCAGCTGGGCAGGAAAATCTATAAAACCAGCCCTGCGAAGGCAGGCAGCTCCTCCCCAATCTGGCTGGAGGCCCGCAGCACATCTCCACCTGCGATGTGAACTCTGCTCTCTCTCTCCCTCCCTCTCTCTCTCTCTCTCCCCCCTCCCTCCCTCCCGCTCTCTCCCCTTCCTCCTCATAATATCTAAATAAAAATATTTGACTGCTCTGTCTCTTCCCAAAATTCTTTTCTGTGGGGGAAAGGGAAGGTCACAGACCCCCAAACCCCCAGATCCAGTCTGACTTTCCTTCCTGCCAAGAACAGTTCCTGGCTCCAGCCTGAGTCCACGGCTCCCAGAGAGACCGGGTGGCCAGGATCGTCCCCCGCGCCATGCAGCACAAGTTCGCCAGCTGCCTCGTGGCGCTGTGAGGCGTGAGGACTGTACCGTGCTGGGGCTCACCGCAGACTTTCCTCAGCCCTCCATTTCCTCTAACACTTTCTGGGAGGCCGAGTGGGTAGAGAGGGAAGCGGCAGCCTCCTGTCCCTTCCCCGCTTCACAGAAGTCACCTGTAACATTTCTTTCCTTTAAAAAAAATTGGGGGGCTGGAGTGATAGCACAGCGGGTAGGGCATTTGCCTTGCATGCGGCCGACCCAGGTTCAATTCCCAGCATCCCATATGGTCCCCTGAGCACTGTCAGGAGTAATTCCTGAGTGCAGAGTCAGAAGTAATCCCTGAGCATTGCCGGGTGTTACCCAAAAAGCAAAAAATAAATAAAATGGAGGGGGGGTGCCACGTCTGTCTGTGTTCAGGGCTTCTTCCTGACTCTGTGCTCAGGGATCACTCTTGGTGGTGCTCAGGGGGCCATTCGGATGCCAGGGATCAGCTACACGCGTGGCAGTGCCTTATCCATTGCCCAATCTCCCCAGTCCCGACTTTGATTTTTTTCTTCTTTTGGTCCATATGGTCCCCTGAGCCTCCCAGGGGTGATCCCTGAGTGCAGAGCCAGGAGTAAGCCTGAGCACTGCCTGGTGTAGCCAAAAAACAGCCAAATAAGACCAGCTGAACCCCATGTTGTGTTTTTTTCCCAAATACTCTAGAACACAGAGAAATGCTCTCCAGCCTTCTGCCAGAGGGAGGGATGCTGAGGTCTCTTCTCTGTGCCCATATGGAGGGATCGTGGCCTTCGCGGCCCCCGGGCAAGCATGCAGAGCCTAAACTTGCAGAGCAAACATGGCTGACCACATCCTGCTCATTGTCCTGTGACACCTCCCTGCCCTCTGTTGCTGTTGTTGAACAGAGGGGTGGGGTGACGAGGTGCACTTGGCAATATCAGGCAGAGCTGCCAGGGGCAAAACCCAGGGGTTCCCACATACAAGGCTTGTGCTTGATCACTTCAGCCCCTTCCTGGCCCAGCTTGAAACCCCACAATTCCCCCCCAGACACAGACACACAGAGACACAGACTCTCTCTCTCTCTCTCTCTCTCTCTCTCTCTCTCTCTCTCTCTCTCTCTCTCTCTCCTTAATAGAGGCTTGCGCTGACCCTGCCCCAAGAAATACTTACATTGAACTCATACGCAGCTGCAGAAACTCCTGCGGCAGCGCCCGATCCCGCCAGGCCCACGAAATGTCCACTTCCAACGTTGCTGGCAAACAGGGACGCGCCCACCTGTAGGGAGACGGGCAGTGAGAACCCGGGCTGGGCTCACTGCAGAGGAACCAGGCCCCAGGGGGAGGAAGACGAGGCAGGGCTGCCCCGGGTCTCTGGGCACCGTTTTCAAATTTGAAAACAAAGGGCTGGAGCAATAGCATAGTGGATAGGGCATTTGCCTTGCATGCGGTTGACCCAGGTTCGATTCTTAGCATCCCATATGGTCAGTCAAGCACTGCCAAGAGTAATTCCTGAGTGCAGAGCCAGGAGTAACCCCTGAGCATCACTGGGTGTGACCCAAAAGGGAAAAAAATTGAAAACAAGATTGCCTTCTGCTCCAGGACGAGTTGCTGTCAGCCTGGTGCCCCAAGTCTGTCTCTGTGGGTGCCTGAAACGTGCCGTGTGGAGCCCCAGGGTTAGACCCAGCACACAGCTGCTTCCCAGGACACCAGGAAGTGGAAATCTGTGCTTCTGTTGAGAATCATCCCCCGGGCCTGCCTCTAATTGAGCCGAGTGGCTAAGCCCTCCTTTTGGTAAACCCCAATGGTAAACCCCACTGGAACCGGTGACCCCCATCCCTGGTGTCGTGGATTGTGCAGATGTGCCTGGACAATTAGCTCCATGTGGGCTAAATGCTTCTTTCTCCTGAGAATTTGGAATGGAGCCTCTGTCTCTGCTGGTTCCTCAGACTGGGCTGTGTAGGCAAAAAGACCTGCAGAGAGACAAGTCCAAGAAAAAAGGAGAGTGGGGGAGAGGGAGAGGGAGAGAGGGGAGAGAGGGAGGGTGGGAGAGAGAGAAGGGTAGAGGGGGAGAGAGAGGGAGGGAGGGGGAGAAAGAGAGAAGGAGAGGGAGAGAGAGAGACTCCCACGAGGCCCACTGCTTCTCCTATTGGCTGGTCAGTCTGTCTCCCACCTGGCTCTGTACCACCCATCTGTCCTCACACTTTTTACTGGTTGCTTGAGTCCTGTTACTGGATACTAAACTTGGGAAATTCATTGGGCCAGAGAGAGAACAGCGGACTTAAGAAGTTACCTTTCTGGATGCCAGAGTGCTAGCACAATGGGTAAAAGCTTGCCTTGCACGCAGCCGACCCAGGTTTAATCCCTGGCATTCTATACGGTCCCCTGAACCCTCCAGGAATGAATGTAAAGCTAGGAGTAAGCCCTGAGCACCACCAGGTATGGTCCCAAAACAAAAACAATCACAAGAAAAGGAGTTCCTGGTGTGCAGCTGAACCTGGTTTGATCCCCAGCACCACATATGGTCTCCCTGAGCACCACCAGGAGTGACTCCTGAGCACAGAACCAGGATAGTCACTGAGTACCACTTGTGTGACACAAATCTTCGCTCATAGATAAAATAAATAAATAAATAAATTGGGGGCCAGAGCAATAGTAAAGAGGGTGGGGCATTCCCCTAGCATAGAGCTGACGGTTTGATCCCCAGCATCCCATATGGTCCCTTGAGCCCAGCCAGGAGTATCCTGAGCGTAGAGCCAGGAGTAACCCCTGAGCAATGCTGAGTATGACCCCCCAAAACAAAGAAAATAAAACAGAGCCAGAGAGGTAGAAGAGCAGAGGAAGGTTGCACACAGCTGCAAGTTCGATCCCCGTCACCACAGATGGTCTCCTGAGCTCTGCCCAGAGTAAGCTCTGAGCACCACCAAGAGTGATCCCAAAGCCAAAAAGGTAAAGGTAAAGGCCCTCCCGTTGTTCGTCGATTTGCTCGAGCGGGCCCAGTAACGTCTCCATTGGAGACTTTGTTTTTACTGTGTCTGGCATATCGAATACGTCACGGGGAGCTTGCCAGGCTCTGCCGTGCGGGCGAGATACTCTCGGTAGCTTGCCGGGCTCTGAGAGGGGCAGAGGAATCGAACTCGGGTCGGCCATGTTGGCTGCGCGCAAGGCAAACGCCCTACCGCTGTGCTATTGCTCCAGCCCCCAAAAAACAAACAAAAATAAAATAAAATTTGGAAATGTGAATTCTCCATCCTCCTTTCTTTCTTTTTGAGGGGGAGGGCTGAGGCCATGCCTGGCAGGGCTCAGGGGCTCATCCCAACTCAGTGCTTGGGAGTAATTTCTGGCAGGGTACCAGGGTTTGAGCCTGAGCCTCTTGTGTGCAGAGGCCGTCCTAAGGGTACACTCCTGGCTGGGTGCTCAGGGATGGCTTCCGGCTGTGCTCAGGGACCCTGCGGTGCCAGGGATCTAACCCAGGGCAGGCTGAGGTTTGATCCCTGGTCCCACAGAGTCCCCTGAGCACCAAGCTGAGAGTAACCCCACAGCACAGCTGAGTCTGGCTCAAAGCAAAAGTTTCACACGCCTTTTCCCCATGTACTGAGGTTGTGATATTTGGACCTTTGTAGTATGATGTATTATAAATCGGCGCTTACGAATTTATTTTCTGATCGTTCTATTTGCCAGTTCTTGAAGTTGTGTTGCAATAAGCAATATAAAGTAAATTTATTATGTGCCAAAGGGAGCAAGTGAGGATTGGGAAGGAAATGGGATATTGGTGGAGGGAAGTCACACTTAAATGCTTGAAACAACTGTTTCATGAACAACTTTGCAAATAACAGTGTTTTAACAAAAATTAATTTAAAAATGTGGCAATTACATTGATTTGTTTTTTTACATGGTTCAACCTTGCAATCTAGAAAAATCTCACTTTGTCATGACGTATCATGTCTTTTGTAAGTTGCTATTATTTTAGTTTGATAAGGACTGTTGAATTTATGTTTGGGAGGCATAGTTAGTCAAATAAATTAGAATAAATTAGAATGTCTTTGATTACCTTTTAAAGAATTGGTGTCAATTCTTTATTTTAAAAAAATAGTTTAGGACTGGAGTGATAGCACAGTGGGTAGGGTGTTTGCCTTGCACCCGGCCAACCCGGGTTCGAGTCCCAGCATCCCATATGGTCCCCCGAGCACCGTCAGGAGAACTTCCTGAGTGCGGAGCCAGGAGTAACCCCTGTGCATCTCCGGATGTGGCTCAAAAAGCAAAAATAAATAAATAATATTTTAGCCAGGAATATGTTAATTACTGTCATTTCTTTCATGTGTTTTAAATTATTTTAATTATTCATCTTAATGGGGGAGGGGCATACCCAGTGGTGCTCAAGGATTGCTCCTGGCTTTGTGCTCAGGGTCCATCGAGGTCCTGCAGTGCTCCAGCGACCATCGAGGGGGTGACAGAGATCAAATCAGGGTTGGCTGATGCAAGAGACAAGCACCTTATCCCTGTATTAGCTCTCTGGCCAAGTTTTTTTTTTTTTTAAATACTGGAGCTGGGGTCGTTGTGTAGGCACTTGGGGCCACCCCTGGTTATTTGGCCTCGTGGTATGGCCAGTGGTTCTGGTGCTCCAGCCCAGTGATGCAGCGCTCTGTGGGCTGGAAACACTCAGAAGTCACCGGGTGGGCCAGGTGTGAAGGGGCGTAAAGACCCCACCCATCTTAGGCCCTTGCTCTGTTACTTATCTCCCAGCCACTCTTTCTTTTTTAAACATTTGGGACATTTTGCTAGTGAAGGTCATGTAGTTGTTGGCCTTTTTGCAAGGTTTGAGTGTGAGAGGGAAATTTATTTATTTTTTCTTTTCATAGGTCTAATTCAGGTTTTTCTATTTTTTCTTGAATCAGTTTCAACAGTTTGTATCTCTTGTTTGGGAGGGCCTCTCCTAGGGGTGCTCAGGGCTTCCTCCTGGCTCTGTAATCAGGAATTCCTCCTGGAGGGCTCTAGGGACTAAATGGGATTCCAGGGACTGAACTCAAGGAGGCCCACTGTACTCTCTCTTCAGCCCAGCACTTTGAATCTTTCCACGGACCTGAATATTTCATCTAAGTGGGCTAATTTCTGACACCCAACTGCTCATACTAGTTCCTTAGAATTTTTATTTCTGGGACCATAGCAGGTAGGGCATTTGCCTTGACGCAACCAACCTGGGTTCGATCCCCGGCATCCCATATGGTCCCCTGAGCACCACCAGGAGTCATTCCTGAGTGCAGAGCCAGGAGTAACCCCTGAGCACCACTAGGTATGACCCAAAAACAAATCAATAAAAAAGAATGTTTATTTCTGTACGGTTGGTAGTGATGCACCTTCTCTCATTTCTGACTCTATGTGTACAGGGAGGTTCACACCAGTGGGCTCAGGGGCTGAACACACCGTCTCTCCAGCTCCTCAAGAGCTTGCTCTGGCCCCTTCACTTCTGATTTTCTTCTGCTTTAATTTTTATTAAAGAGCAATGATTTACAAAGTTACTGGTAGTTGCGTGGGGTTTTTTGTTTGTTTGTTTTTTCTTTTTGGATTACACCCGGCATTGCATAGGGATTACTCCTGGCTCATACACTCAGGAATCACCCCTGGCGGTGTTCAAGGGACCATATGGGATGCTGGAAATTGAACCTGGGTTGGCCACATACAAAGCAAACGCCCTACCTGCTGTGTTATCACTCCAGCCCCAGGTAGTTGCCTTTTAAGCATACAATAATTCCATTTCTCACTTTAATCACTGCTTCTATCTTTTCTCCTGACCAACTGTGTTTACCTTTTCCAAAAAAAACTAACTTTTTTTCACTGTGCTGGTTTTAGCTAAAGTTTCTATGCAGTGTTTTTTTTTATCGCCTCCTCATTATGCATTCTTTTATTTCTTCTGCTTGCCTCGGGTTTCATTTTTCCCAGTTTATTATGATGAAAAATTTGGCTATAAGTTTGATATCTGCTACTTTTTAAATATAGATATTTATGGTGTGGATTTCCTACTAAGCATTTTCTGCTTTAGCCATGTGCCCTGTACTTTTCTTTTTTCTGGGTCACACCCGGCAATGCACAGGTGTTACTCCTGGCTCATGCACTCAGAATTACTCCTGGCGGTGTCCAGGGGACCATATGGGATGCTGGGAATCAAACCTGGGTTGGACATGTTCAAGACAAACACCCTACACGCTGTGCTATTGCTCCATATGTTGGTATGTTGTGTTTTTGCTTTAAAGGGTTGTTTTCTTTTTCTCTGAGTTTGGGTCATGCCCAGTGATGCTCAAGGGCTTCCTCCTGGCACTGTGCTCAGGGATGGCTCCTGGCAGTGCCCAGAGGACCCTAGGGGTTGCCAGGAATTGAACCCAGGTTGGCTGCATGCAAGGTGAGCTTCCTTCCCACTGTGCTAGCATTTCAGTCCTCAAAGTACTTTCTAAAATCCTCTCTGGTTTATTATTTGACCCACTGGTTATCTGGAAGTATCTTAATTAGTTTTCACATATTTTTAATTACTAAAGCTTCCTTCTATAACTGATTTCTTTTTTTTTTTTATTTTTGGGTCACACCCGGTGATGCACAGGATTACTCCTGGCTCTGCACTCAGGAATTACTCCTGGCAGTGCTGGGGGACCATGCAGATGCTGGAAATCGAACCCAGGTTGGTCATGTGCAAGGCACATGCCCTACCCACTGTGCTATCGCTCCAGCCCCTATAACTGATTTCTGAATGTATTCCATTATGAGCATCCAACCCACTCTGAGTAACTGAAACTTTTGTAATTTATGGAATATGTACAGTCTAACGTGTGACTCCTGGAAATTGTTCCATGTGTATGTAACAGGAACACGTGAGGTGCTGCTGCTGCTGCTTTGCTTGTCCCGTGTCTGGTTCTACAGAATTGAAAATGGAATGTGGACATGTCCCGTTCTCAGCATTATCTATTGCTTTATTATTATATATATGTATATATAGCATTATCTATTGTTCTCCTTTTGATTTGGTTGAGTTTTACAACATATATAGGGGTCCTGTGCAAAACATGTATGTTTGTAGTCATTGTAAGTTCTTTATCAGTAGACCCTTTAACCATTCCATAAATCATTCCTAGTAATAGTTTGGTTTAAATTCTATTTTTTTCTGATATTAAGATCACTGAGGATCTAAGGATGCAGGGGTTGGAGCAATAGCACAGCAGGTAGGGCATTTGCCTTGCATGCGGCCATCCCAGGTTCGATTCCCATATGGTCCTCCAAGCACCGCCGGAGTAATTCCTGAGTGCAGAGCCAAGAGTAACCCCTATGCATCTCTTGTGTGACCCAAAAAGGCAAACAAACAAATAAATAAATAAATAAAGCTAAGGATGCAGCTTAGTGGTGGAGTATTTGCGTCATGGGTGAGGCCTTGAGTTTGGTACCCAACAGCAGTAATGATTAATAATAATATGCAGCTAATTTATGGCCTTTGACTGGTAAGTCTAGTATCTGGGATTCTTCGGGAACTCTTTTATGGCACGTAAAGTAATTGTCACTGACTGTTGTCTTTAACAAAAGCCTCGCTGGGAAGGTTGTTCACCCACTGAGTGATCCCTGAGTCCAGCAAAAGAAATAGAAATCTCCCAGAAGGGCTTCTCCTGGGAAGTGCTGGGTTAAACCTGCCAATTCTGTTCCAGCCTTTTCTCACCTCCAGAGCAGCTGCCTTAAATCTGTTTGGGAAGAAAACACTCATGGGTGGCTGCCTCTGTTTGTCCCTCCATGTCCATCCTGCCTTGTCCTGGGAATGGACTCCAGTTTCCCTTCAAGATCTAATTCTCTCATTTCCTATCACATATTTTTTCAGATGCGGCTCCGTGTTCATGTAATGCTGTGCAGAACTTCAAGCAAGAGTAACTGAGAGCAGTTGTCACTACTTTGGGGCCATGAATGAGCCTGTTAAGAATGGTGCCCACGGGGCTGGAGCAATAGCACAGTGAGTATGGCATTTGTCTTGCACATGGCCAACCCGGGTTTGATTCCTACAATCCCATATGGTCCCCCGAGCACCGTAAGGAGTAATTCCTGAGTGCTGAGCCAGGAATAACCCCTGTGCAATGCTGAGTGTGATCCAAAAAGCAAAAAAAAAAAAAAAGAATCAAAAGAGAGGGTGACAGAGATGAAGAGATAGAAGATCATGAAGAGAAGGGAAGGAGGAAGGAAGGAATGGAGGAGGGAGGGAAGGAAGGAGGAAGGAAGGAAGGAAGGAAGGGAGGGAGGGAGGGAGGGAGGGAGGGAGGGAGGGAGGGAAAAGGGAGAAGAGGAAGGAAGGAAGAAAAAGGAAGCAAAAAAGGAAGAAAGGAAGGAGGAATGGAGGGGAGGAAGTAAAAAAAGCGAGGAAGGAAGGAAGGAAGGAAGAGGGGAAGGAGGGACGAAGAAAGGCAGGAAGGGAGGGAGAAAGGAAGAAGGAAAGGGAGTGAAGGGACTGAGGGAGAGAGGGAGAGAGGAAGGAGAGACAGGAGGAAGGAGAAACAGGGGAAAGAGAACAGGAAGAAGGGAAGGGAAGGGAAGAAGGGGAGGGAAGCAAGAGACAAATCAGGTCCTAGTGATACCACTAAGGAGCCCTGAAAGCCACTGGACCCTAGACGTGTTCCCTAGGCAAAGTGACAAGTCCTCCTTTTAGTGGAAGGTGTTCAGTGTGTAGCTGCGCCTTCCGTGGCTTTGGCTCTAATTTCCAACAAACCTGAAACCAAAGGGTACCAAGAGCACATCAGTGCTGGAAGAATCTCTGAGACGTGACTGTAACAAAACCAAAGACCACTTACGGGCCACCACACCATGTCTCCTCCAGCGAGGAAGTAGCCTTTCACTGTGTCTTTTTTGGTCTTCACTGTGGACTGAAACAGAAAAGGAGCGGGTGAGAGGAGTCGCAGCAAGCAGAACCTCCTGGAATGATCCAGAAGAGGAGTCACCAACTGGACATCCAGGGGGTCAGCCCTGAACATCAGAGTCATTGCTCAATCTGTGGATTTTAATATTTTTATTAGAATTAAATAAAGGAGGAATAAAATAAAATCCCTGTAGGTTCCCACTCTTCCCTGTTGCCCCGATTTACACATTCTCAATCCTACTTGAACCGCATAGACATTTGAGCCTTTGACCCAGGGTTTGTCTGTACTCACTCCTCCTGGTGGTCAGCATTGATTCAGTGTGGGCAGCATGGGCTAAGCATTTGAAGATACAAGAGTGTATGAAATGCACTTTAGAGCATTATCTAATTTTAAGCCTTGCCAATTCCTGTGAGGTTAGTGTCATTGGTATCATCCTAACAGATGGAGAAATTCTGGCTCAGAAATAAAATCACTTATCTTGAGCCGTATTTTTCATGGAAGGGCTGGGAGTACAAACCCAGGTCAACCTGACTTAGAACATCAGCAAGATCTTAGCTGGTCTTAAAAAGTAGTGAGATTTCAGAGTATCCTGCTGAGTTAAAAGAGTCAGAAGGAGAAGGACAGATATAGAATGACTGCATTCGTTCGTGGTAGCACTGTAGCACTGTCCTCCCGTTGTTCATCAATTTACTCGAGCAGGCACCAGTAACGTCTCCATTGTGAGACTTGTTGTTACTGTGTTTGGCATATTGAATACACCACGGGAAAATTGCCAGGCTCTGCTGTGTAGGCGGGATACTCTTGGTAGCTTGCTGGGCTCTCCAAGAGGGACAGAGGAATTATATATATATATATATATATATATATATATATATATATATGAAAGACTAATATTCATGACCAGGGAAAATAGGGGTTAGGAGGACTGGTCAATGGTTGGATGTAACCACAAGTGTGTGGGGGGCTCAGGGTAGGTAAGATAGATTAGAGACCCATATGACAATAATAACTGGGAATGATCATGCTCGACAAGAACTGAGGGTTAAAATAGGCAAAAGGATATTCTTAATAACCTTTCATTATCAATACCACAAACCACAATGCCCAACAGGAAGAAAAGTGCCTGTTATAGAGGCAAGCAGGGAGTGGGGGTGGGGGTGGGGATGATGTGAGGGAACCTGGGGACACTGGTGCTGGGAAATGTCCACTGGAGGAGGGATGGGTGTTGGAAGACTGTATGACTGAAATCCAAACATGAACAGCTTGATAAGGGTCTATCTCACAGTGATTCGATTTAAAAAGTTAAAAAGAAACGTAGTAAGATTCCTGCCAGGAAGACGTTTTGATTGAGACTTCTTCACCACTAAAGAGCCTTGTGTTTTGGGGTGTCTGGGTGAGTCTAGAAGTAGTTGGTGAAGGGTTTCTTCCTGAAGGGGAGAGGGCAGGAGCTCAAACTTTTTCATCTCTACAAAGTTGTTGTATGCAAACAGCCACTCTTGTTCATTCCAACTGAAACGTGACACAGGAAGTATTTTCATAGAACCCTCAAAAATCCAGGAATGCCCAAACAAGGAATACTTTAGAGTCTCCTGTGAAAATAGACATCACCTGGAACCCAACCCTACCCTAATTCTACCTGTACCCCCAACTCCAAGCCGGTCTCACTTGAACACTCTCACTCTTAACATCCATCCTTCTCAGTCCTGATAAGGTGGGACAAACAGAGAGGTGAGGTCCACAGTCAATAAGAAGTCCAGTACTTTTGTCCCCTTAGCGACCTTGAGGAGGAAAAGCTATAGGGTAAGAACAGAGAAATAATCTTTCCTTCTAGCTCTGGAAGAGTAGAGATGAGGGGCCGGAGCAATAGTACAGCGGGCAGGGCGTTTGCCTTGCACGCAGCTGACCCGGGTTCAATCCCCGGCATCCCACAGGAGCCCCTGAGCACTGCCAGGAGTAATTCCTGAGTGCAGAGCCAGGGTAACCCCTGAGCCTCACTGGGTGTGACCCAAAAAGCAAAATTGGCTCTAACTTTTAAGACTTTTGTACTAGGTGGCCTGAAAACAATCAAACAGCATCTCCTTGGCACCATGCTTATCCCGAAGTTAGTAACATCATTAATAGGAAGAGTTGCTAGAAATTAGTGGTTAAAGGAGCAAGACCTTCATGATAATGGAGCAGATATATAAAGCCATACTCTTTAGGGTAATAGCAGTGATAGTAGTGCAGTGGGTTGGGTGCTTGCGTTGCATGCGGCCAACCCAAATTTGATTCCTGAAATTCCATAGGGTCCCCTGAGTAATGCCAGGAGTAATTCCTGAGTGCAGAGTCAGGAGGAATCCCTGAGCATTGTTGAGTGTCCCCCCCACAAATAAAAATAAAAATCAAACCATATTCTTCAGAAAAGAAATAAGTGATTCTTAAGTCTTAAAAGTCAAGGTTCTTAAAAGTCAAGGTTCAGTTAGAATGTCCAATTTCACTTATTATAAGATAAATGCTTATTAACAAAGCATTGAGTGTGTAGAGAGGGGAAGGGAAAGGTGAGCTAGAAATGACGTAAGGACAATGGTGGAAGGCTTCAGGCACTTTGGGAGTGATGAGGTGCAGTAACTTTGAACATCAAAATCATGAATGTTAACAGTATGATAAAAGGTAAAGGTAAAGGTAAAGGCCCTCCCGTTGATCGTCGATTTGCTCGAGCGGACCCAGTAACGTCTCCATTGGAGACCCTGCTGTTACTGTGTCTGGCATATCGAATACTCTCGGTAGCTTGCCGGGCTCTTCGAGAGGGGCGGAGGAATCGAACTCGGGTCGGCCATGTTGGCCGCGTGTAAGGCGAACGCCCTACCCGCTGTGCTATTGCTCCTGCCCCTGTGCTCGCTATACTAACCCAATTTAAAAGGCATAGAGACGGTATTGTTTCCCTGTCGGTTTGACAAAAATGAAAGCATTTGCAATACTGTGTGGGGAAAAATATATTAAAAAACCACAGGCTTTCTCTCTCATATATTAATAATGTGTGTGCAAATTGGTACCACATCTGAGGAAGACAATTTGACTCAAACGTATCATTATTTAACTTGACAATTCCACAGAAAATGAATCCTATTATTGTAGTTTCACACACACACAAAATAATGAATGTACAAGGTTTTTTTTTAATTACAGTACAATCTTAATAGTAAGGCATGAAAACAATCCAAGTGACCTTAGCTGGAAATAGGTTAAATCAATTACTGTATAATAGTATATAGAACAGGGTCAGAGAGATAGTACAGCAGGTGAGACACATGTTATGCACACATTTGACCTGGGTTCAATTCCTGGCTCCCCTTTCGTCCCCTGAGCCCACCAGCAGTGATCCCTGAGCACAGAGCCAGGAGGAAGCTTAGCACAGCTGGGTGTGCCACCCACAAAAAATTACACTAACTATATATAAACTAATGTATATTTTATAAATAATAAAATTTTATACAATTTATAAATTATAAAAATTATATATACACTGCTGTTCAACTTTTAAGATGAGTGCATAGTAACTTCTATGTACTTGTACTAAAACATATTCAAGAGATACTTGTCAGTGAAAACTAGAAAGATAAAAAACATATTAAGTTACCCTCTATTTAAGAAAGAGAGAAAGACACATTCACAGTTGCTGGGGTTTGCAACAAGAACCTGGAAAATACACAAATGTACTAAAAATAACATCAGTGTGACAACTTGGACCCTTTTTGCCTCCTTCCCTCTTTCTGTATCTCTTCTCCAAAGTGATGGGGCTTTCTTAGGACCAATACAGGTGCTTCTCGGGCTCGAGGATAGTACAGTGGGGAGGGCGTTTGCCTTGCACGTGGCCAATCCGGGTTTGATTCTCATTATTCCATATAGTCCCCCAAGCACTGCCAGGAGTAATTCCTGAGTGCAAAGCCAGGAGTAACCCCTGTGCATCGCCAGGTGTGACTCAAGAAGCAAAAAGTAAAAACCAAACAAACAAACAAAAAACAGGTGCTTCTCTTCACCACCCCCGCCCCCATTCCCCACTTGGCTTACCCATATTCCAACAGCCAGGACAAAGAGGAAGTACAGAACCAGCACTGCTATGTCCCCGGGCTCCAGGCTCTTTTGGGGAAAGGCATCCAGGGGATCCGACGCTGTGGGCGGAGGGCTGCTGGGGGCGCTCTCCATGGTCCTGAAGGAGCTCTGCCGCCTGAGGAAGCACAAATGTGGGTCAGGTGCCATAACCTGTAGCCAATCTTCTTGGGACACATGTGGAGGGAGATACGATGGAAACAGAGAGTCGTGGGAAAGATTCAGCCGTTCTTCTCTACACCCAGCCCTTCACTCATCCATGCAGTGAACACTTCCGACGAAGTTACAGCAATACTGCAGTTGACTTTTTACTAATCCAACCTCTGAAGAACCAATTTAGACAACACAGTGGCTTCACCACCCTCTTAGACTTAATATGTGCATGTCCAACAGGGAAAAACAGAAAAGAGTCAGGTTCTGTCCACCAGAGACCTCACAGCTGGGTACAGGTCAAATCGAGCACTTTTCTCAGATGCTCTGTTTTTTCCCTAGGCAGGATATACCCATAAAATTGCATCCACATAAGCAAAACCTATAGCATACCAGGTTTCATTCTAAGAGTCCAAAATCCTGTAAAAAAGAACCTTACTAACCATCCTTATTTTATTAGGGGCTGGGAGGGGGAATTGAGGCACGGAGAGTTAAGTAATTTTTTTTCAATTACTCAGTACAGCTCAGGTGCTGGTGTGGGGATTTGAGGTCAAAGAGTGCTTTCAGGCTCTGACTCACTCTTCTAAGCTGTTTCTCAGCAGACTGCCCTGTGAAGGCAATACCCAGTTGTACTCAGGGTTTACTCCCGCCTCTGTGATTAGGGATCATTCCTGAAGGGCTCAGAGGACCATCATATGGGGTTCCCAGGGCAGCTTCACACAAGACAAGAACCTTACTCCAGTCCCTGAATATAAATTCTTTTTTTTTTTGCTTTTTGGGTCATACACAGTTTTTTTTGCAGGGGGGCGGGTGTGACACCCGGCAATGCACAGGGGTTCCTCCTGGCTCTGCACTTAGGAATTACTCCTGGCGGTGCTCAGGGGACCCTATTGGATGCTGAGAATCGAACCGAGTCAGCTGTGTGCAAGGCAAACGCCCTACCTGCTGTGCTATCATTCCAGCCCCTGAAATATAAATCCTTAATGCCCCGTTTTGCAGCTGAAAAGGGTTTAGGAAACTCATTTCCATTCTCAGGGCTGGGATCTGGGGGAGCCTGAGCTTGGGCCTCTAACACACCAGCCTCCAGAAGTCCTGGGAAGTGGCACAGGGTTGTCCTGACCCGTGTGGGGACTTTCCCCACGTTTTTCCCATGGAGGAGATTGTCGGCGTCCTTTCATTCTGGATCTCCCAGAGGCTGGTGTTGCCAGAGAGGACTTGTGTCCGAACATGGCATGGCTCCATGCCAAACAGCCAATCGCCTGGACGCGAGCATCACTCTCAGGAATTGGATTTGTTCCAGATTTGCTGCCGTAAGAAATTGGGGCTGGAGTGAGAATACAGAGGATACACTGCATTTGCCTTGCACGCAGCCTACCCAGGTTCAATTCCCAGCATCCCGTAGGGTCCCTCAAGCACCGCCAGAAGTGATTCCTGAGTGCAGAGCCAGGAGAAACCCCTGTGCATTGCTCGGTGTGACACAGAAAGAAAAAAAAAAAAAAACTAGTAACCTTAATTCCACTTCCTGGACATAGGTGGCACTGGTGGTCTTTGTGATCCATCACGCCTTCCTGCCCTTCCTCTGCCCCCTTCACAGTTAGGGACATCCACTGGGCTCTGGCTCGGGGCTGGCTCTGGGGGCAGGGGGGTTCTGCAGAACATCATTGGGCAGCACCTGTGGACACTGATCAGAAACCAGATGTGCACAGACCCTGAGCCTGGTGGCCCCGGCCCTAACCTCATGCCTCCTCAGCCTGGCTCTGGGTGACACTGTGTGTGCCCAGGGCCACCCTGTGGGGTGACCCAAAGCACTCTTTTGCCCCTTGCACTGTCTCCACCATGCTGGGGCCTGAGCTGCTGCCCCACTGGGGTGGGTGGCCCATTTGGGAGATGGTGGCCCCATTTGCTGTACAACTTTTGTGCACCTAGAAGATTTTACAAGGAAAGGGACAGGAACAGAGGGATGCAGAGTGACACCTGACATCACCTCCACGCATTCGATCCATCCCACAATACAGTGACGGGAAGGACACAGGCTGACTGCCAGACTGCAGAGATGGGACGAGACACAGGGACAGAGACCAGAAAGGGACCACAAGAGGGACGGGCCTGTCCTGACCCGAGAGGACAACAGCCGCAATGACAAATTCTCATGAGAGGCAAAACGCTCCGGGAAGGGACCAGAGTGATACACGGCGGGGAGGGCATCTGCCTTGCACGGAGCCAGCCCAGGTTCCATCTCCGGCACCCCCGAGGGCCCCGAGCCCCGCCAGGAGAGGCCCAAACAGACAAATAAAAGCCACTAAGGAAGTAGACGGGTCTCCATAAAGTGTCAGGTGTTAGAGCACCACTTGTTCAAAGCCCATCTCGTCTCTGCGATCCCCAGAAAATCATCTCGGAGCCTCTTCCCCCTCTCCAAAATGGGGGTGGCAGTTAGCCATGGCTTGCGAGTTTTGTTAAAAACACAAAGTAAAAGGGCCAGGGAGATCCCAACCACCAAGCCAGAAGCAGCTTGACTGAGCGGAGATGGGTATAACTGTCCCAAATCAGCCCTTAGCATGAATGAGCCCTTATTATATAAGGTTTCGGCTCTTGCTTTTTGTTTTTGTTTTTGTTTTTTTGGTGGGGGTGGGGGTGTTGTTGTGTTTGGGGGCCATGCTCAGCTGTGCTCCTGGCTGACTCCTGGCTCTGCACTCAGGGATCACTTCTGGTGGTGCTCGGGGGACTCTATGGGATGCCAGGGATCGAGCCAGGTCAGCTGTATGCAAGGCAAATGCTCTAACTGCTGTACTATCGCCCTGTCCCCATGCTCCTGTCCTCTTATGAAAACACTTAAAGCTGGAGCTGGAGCGATAGCACAGTGGGTAGGGCGTTTGCCTTGCACATGGCTGACCTGGGTTCCATTCCAGCATCCCATAAGGTCCCCCGAGCACCGCTGGGAGTCATTCCTGAGTGCAGAGCCAGGAGTAACTCCTGTGCATCACCTGGTGTGGCCCAAAAAGCAAATGAACTTTGGGGTCAGGCGGCCCCCCTCAAGGCACCCGTCCATTGCAGAAGGCGCCGCCTCTCCGAGCCTGGTCTCTCATTAACCCCACTGGCCAGGTTAAGAGCAGGACCAAAGCCAGGATGCGGGTTCACAGTGCTGGTAAATGACTGAACCAGGGCTCTGGCCCAGCTCCGACCCTCATGCTGTCCACGACTGCTTGGCACATGGCCTCACACAGAGAACATCACCACGGTGACAGATGAGGCTGGCACAGGCCGTCCCTGCCAGGCTGCCACTCACTGCCGCTCCTCGTGCTCACCCGCCCAGGACACCAGAGAGAGGAAGGGCCGGACTGCAGAGCTCAAGAGCTGGATGGTTTATCTGTGGGACTTAGGAGCAATGGACCTTGGAAGAAAAGTTAAGAGAAAGAGCCACAGGGGCTCGAGTGATGGCACAATGGGTAAGGCACTTGCCTTGCACGTGGTCGACCCGAGTTCGATTCCCAGCATCCCATATGGTCCCCTGAGCACCACCAGGAGTAACTCCTGAGTGCAGAGCCAGGAGTAAGCCCTGTGCATTGCTGGGTATGACCCAAAAAGCAGAGAGAGAGAGAGAGAGAGAGAGAGAGAGAGAGAGAGAGAGAGAGAGAGAGAATATCTTCCGGCACTTCCCAGTGCCCAGCACTGAGCCCTGGACAGCAGGCAGGAGGGCAGCTGCCCAGTTTGTCCCCATTGCCCCTGGAAGGGGTCTCCCATCCACACTGGGCCCCCACCAATGCATCCCTTGCTGTTTACACACTGGCACACCCGCCCTGGCTGGGGGGTGGGGGGCATCACCGGCATTGATCTAGAAATATCCTTATTCCAGATCATGTTTTCTCTTTCTGCCTTAGAAGCCTGCAAACTTTTGCTCCCATCTTCCCCCAGCCACGGGCTGGGAAAGGTTCAAAACCACAGGTGTACAGAAGGGCCGGGGACCTCACAGAAGTCTCTCTTCCACCAGCCAGCCCCCTTTAAGGCCGAACTTGTCCTGTGATCTGCACGGAAGAGACATCACAGACCACCTCTGAGCCCGGAGCTGTCTGCTGCGATGCCCACGTGGCATCTCCGGGGCTTGCCCAACAGGTGCCTCCAAGCTCAGATCTGTAAGTGGGAGGCCGGGCATCCTGAGAGCAGGCAGCATTCCCCCACCTGCTGCCTCAGGGATGACAAGCTCGCCACTCCGCCCCCAGCCCCTGCTGCTCACCCCAGACCCAAGAATCATCCTTAAGCCGCGCGTGCCCACACTCACTCGTTCATCCCGGCATTAATCCCTACGGCACACGTTCATTTGCATGTTTGTGTGTCAATCCGAGCAGCTAGCACGCGTCTGTTTGTTTGTTAACGCACTCATCCGTGCACTCACTTGCACACAAATGCACGCACACGTTTGTTTATGAATCCACACATTCATTCATGCCTGCACACATTTGTCTGTATGCCTATGCATCAATCTACGCACACATTCATGCCTACATTCGTCTGTCAGTGCATGCCTGCTCACATCATTCATGCACGTATGCAGTGATCTCTGAGTACCTGCTCTGTGCCAGGCACTGTGCCTGCGTACCAAGGATACCCTGGCATGCAAAAAAAATGCCTCCAAAGAAACCAAAATTCTCAAGGATGGAGCAATAGCACAGCAAGTAGGGTCTTGCAAGCATCCGCTAACCCAGATTTCATCCCTGGCACCCCATGCGGTGCCCCCGGGAATCGCCAGGAGGGATTCCAGACTGGCACCCCATGCGGTGCCCCCGAGAATCGCCAGGAGGGATTCCAGAGCCCTGAACACAGCTGGGTGTGGCTTAAAGTCAAAATGAAAAAAGAAGAAACCACGGTCTCTCTGCTCCCAGAGCCGATGGACAGAACCCTGTTCTATTCTCCTTCCCAACACAAGCTTGAACCCACCGCCTCCCCCCATCCCC